GGCATTTGTGTTGTGCGTTTCTTTTTTCATCCCCTTCCTTTTTAGGTTCCTCCTCCAATTACGATCTCATACGAACTGCATAATATAATATTTAACATATTCCTTGCTTCTTGAATTCCGTGTAGCGTATTTCTTTAGTATCTCCTCTTTTTGTCTTGCGGTACATTAGCTGAGGTGTGTTTCTCACTTTCAGCTAACGTGTATTCTATTGTATTTCGACATGGGAGGTCCAGACATCCTCGATTCTTTTGATACTGGCATAACAGTCCAATATTTTGACTCGTTTTTTTGGGTCCTATCCCGTTGGACTAGTCATGAAAAATCTGGTGTATGCATCCATTACTGATTATCACATCCCATAGTGGGCATGCATCACTTCAAGTTAAAATGAACTGCATGTTGCATTACGACATCCATCTCTCATCTGCGCTTCTCCCATGAAATTGCTATCGGGCTCTTACCGATTTCTCTCATTATTTGCGCTTTTATCCGCTCTACTCCACGCTTTATCCTGCTCCTTTAGAGGGCGTTGTACTTGTCGACCCAGAATATGTCAAGGATCGCAAAGTATTCACTCATGTTCTCGCTGCTTTTCGCTACGGCCGTGAAGATTTGGATGTCCTTGGGCTCACCTTCCGAAAAGATCTCTATTTGGCATCCGCTCAAGTCTATCCGTGTATTTACCATGGAGCTGCAAAGGGCGATGATCAAGTCCTTATGAATCCGCCAACAGTGGTCTCAACCGGAGGAGTAAAAGAGGGTAAAGCTATGACGACAGCGAGTCCAGACGCGAATTCAAAAGATGACGAGAATCCGGACGCAGTCGCTCGACCATTGACCCGCTTACAAGAACGCCTGTTGAAAAAATTGGGTGGGAATGCATTTCCTTTTTATTTCAGAGTACGTGTTTATGTGACTATTTAACTTTGAAATTTCAACACTTTCTAAAGGCATGCCTTTTTGTCACACTTGTAGCTATTTTTGAAAGCATACTATAGCATATAAATGAAAGCTGCAGTATTCAACAATCTCTTTGCGAATGAGCAGGTGACCGAAAGAAGTCGTGGTTGAGACAGTGTAAATTGACACTTGATTGGCAAATCTACAGTTCCGAAGCTTTCTGTTGTGCCAAATGCTGCGACACTGTGGCGTGACGAATCTAACTGCTTTTGTAGTGTATCCATCCATATTAGTGTGGGTTTTCTTGACTGCTAGATACGCTCCCATAGAGGGATTTAATTAACCGTCTTATTTCATAGTCCTTGAGGCTGGTTGTTGTATTGACACTGATCAACCATGTACACTTGCCGAATAGCATTGCTTGCTACCTCGATTTTGGTACCCTGGTGGTATCCTCCTATGTATGGGTATGCTACAGTGTCCCTTGCTGAGGCTGATGTTGGATTCATGATGCTTCTTCACCGCAGTTGGGCTAAACCAACTTACACTTAAACTAGGTCTTTTTAATGTGGATAAAATTCGTTACATGTTATTTGGTTTGTTCTGCGTACTTGATAATCTTCTCCTTACTTGCACACGTCGCTCACGCAAATTGTGGTAAACTTGCGTAATTTTATCGCGTGGCATTTTTTAAATGACTTTCGGACATTTTGTACTTATCACGGATTCACTTATAACCGACTTCTTCCATATGCTCATTTAGCGAGTATTTATGTCGTCATATGCGTTTACTTTAATCGATATCGACATTTCGAATGATTAGCTGTTGTTTGACATCCCAGGCGTGGCTGCGCTTGATGTGCATGTTGACAAGTTGCCTACCTGTCTATTACCCACTACCTCGTCCATACTGGCTCCAGGAGACAGTTGGTCGTTGCTGGAGGGGACGGAGTGCACGGTCCTTGTGGTCATGCTAGGCTCGAAGAGTGGTTCCATGCAGTCAGTGTGGAGCGGACTACGGTCTAGCCACCGCCTTGTGTGCGCTTGATTCCCCAAATACAGTGTGCTTGTGTTTGTCTGTGAAGGAGTGTGGGCCGGCTCCATTGATGAGACGTTGCTCCCATCCACATTCCTCCCGGTCTTATTCCTTCGGGTTTACACTGGATGTGGGGTGTGTGGATGGAGCTGTGGGTGGTGCAGCGCAAGCCATCCATGGTCCCTCTGTAGGCGCAGGCGTCCTCTGGCTGACCACAGTGATAGGCAACTCCGAAACCGGTTGCCGCTAACCATGGGTATGTTACAGCTATGCGGCGGTTTAATGCACATGTGTATATTGCTTCGGGTTTTGATTATTTTGACGTCTCCCAAACCACTTATCCATTTGGTTTGGGATCCTTGTAGTAACGGATGAGTTTTGAGACTTCTGTTAGTTTGATTGAATAAGGAACTGCCTATTTCACTCATTATATGAGACTACCATGTATCAAAGGGTCTGAATATGCAAGCGAGTTGCCTAAGCTCTTAAGAAACTTAGATTAGGATGACTGGGCCTAATTCTAATGGCCCCTATAACGACAAGTGTTTATCACTGTTATCTCTAGCCAACACTTCTTTTGAACACAGCTGACACTTAGTGTCATCCGACAAGTCGCCGGAGGTAGACTCAGCGAGACCACATCGATACACTTTTCTGGTGGCGTAGTTCCATCCTTTACCGCCGTTCGTTTTGGAACAGCTACTTTGGTTCCGATCATGTCCTTTGTGGCCGCAACTATTCCTTGAGCCTTTACCAAGGGGCGCAGTAAACGAGTCCATCGATTGGCAACTGGGAATTTGTCTAAGCCCACAATTGAACAAGCATACGTTTATTTCTTGTCACCAACCTTCCCTCTAACTGCTAAGCGATGTCAAGTTTCGCTGCAATATAAGTTATACCGTCATTTATGGCACGAATGCTTTTGCTTGTGGCGCCATCCGCCACTGGTTTACAGCAAAATGGGAAGGTGAAAGTTCAGTAAAACTCTTAGTACCCTGATCTGGATGCCGTATTACTGTCGAACGCAATGCGACTAGACAGACCATCAGAGATGAGCTAAGACAAAGTCTGGGCTAACAAAGCAATCCGCTAGAATCAGGCGGCTTGGGATTTGCATGAAGCGGGAGCGACGGTTCAACATTACTGGCTCTTCCGACTGATCCTCGCCGATGTTTAGATTGCTTGCAATCGTGGACCGTACCCGTCTCCTAATACGCAATGTGGTTGCAGTGCTGTTGTTGGACGAACAACTTTCGAGAGGCATTTTAGTTAGCCCCTTCAAGGCCGCCTGCTCATCACGCAGCGCGAGCTGAACTGTGTTCAGCCTGTTGCTAGACTTGCTCTTAGAACTGTGGTCATAACCATCAATCGTCTCCACGTTGTTATTCCGGATGCTCTTATGACTTCCATATTTGGAGAGATGAGGTCCCCTTATATTGTTGTTGGTGCTAATCCTGAGCTTTCCCCACTAGCTTTAGGACTGGTTGGAAGGATGTGGTGCGTCGTGCTCATTCGGCTCCTCTTTCCTTGAGTAACTTGTAGTTCCACGGGCAAACACCCTTGACCTTACCTCTATGCCTACTCTACTACTTAGAATTCGCAAGCGACTCTTTAGGTATAAATCGTGAAATGCATGTTCTTCTATTTCTATCCCATTTGCGCAGCTTCTGTTTCCCGTCTGTCTTCGTACTCGGTATACAGTTCTGTGAAATTTTCTAACGGAAATTTTCAGCTTTGTTAAATTCGTTGACTATCCTCTTCCGTCACTTGGACAATGTTTCCGATGTTTTTCAGCTACCTCCTGATGCACCTGCGTCCGTTATCCTGCAACCAGGACCGAACGAAAACGGCAAGGTAATTTTTATACGTTTCTCCTTTGTTATGGTCATTCCGTCTCTTTTTGGGCATTTTCCTCTCACCACCGACACAATTACTGTTTCCACTTATATTCTCCTTTTCGTAAATTACCTTTCGTTTTTGTTCGTCGCAATCAGCCGACAATTCAGATATGTCGACCAGCTATCCGGAAAAGCACCAGACGGCCGTTTCGCCCTATTGGGGCTCATCAGTGGTGCGCATCCTTCGGTCCTCTGCGGAAGATCGAACCCATGACTGCTAGTGGCTCTTGCCAACTAGCCCGCAGCTTATGCAACTGCGCCATGGAGGACGGTATCTGACTATCGTGAATTGTTAGCTAAATGCGATATAGCCCGACGCATCCTCCACTGCCATGCAGGCACCTGCCATGCAGATGACAGCGGTCGGCCTTCCGGCGTCAGGACTTCCCGGTTACGGCAGCTATGAACCGACATAGCATTTTGTGGAATCCGTACGGGCGAATTGGTATTACTTATGAATGGAAGGATTTTGGTGCGTATTTTTGTTCGTCGCAATCAGCCGACAATTCAGATATGTCGACCAGCTATCCGGAAAAGCACCAGACGGCCGTTTCGCCCTATTGGGGCTCATCAGTGGTGCGCATCCTTCGGTCCTCTGCGGAGGATCGAACCCATGACTGCTAGTGGCTCTTGCCAACTAGCCCGCAGCTTATGCAACTGCGCCATGGAGGACGGTATCTGACTATCGTGAATTGTTAGCTAAATGCGATATAGCCCGACGCATCCTCCACTGCCATGCAGATGACAGCGGTCGGCCTTCCGGCGTCAGGACTTCCCGGTTACGGCAGCTATGAATCGACATAGCATTTTGTGGAATCCGTACGGGCGAATTGGTATTACTTATGAATGGAAGGATTTTGGTGAGTATTTTTGTTCGTCGCAATCAGCCGACAATTCAGATATGTCGACCAGCTATCCGGAAAAGCACCAGACGGCCGTTTCGCCCTATTGGGGCATGGATTTCCGAGTTATCGGTCAGTTTGATAGAAACAGGTTCCGATGGGCGCTGCGTTTCTGCGTGTCTGTAACGCCCTAAAATGATGACAGACAAATAGCCCTGGATACGTTGATTGATTTTAAAGTATTTTGCAATGGAGAAAGCCAGTTTGTTTGATATGTGGGTGCGGTTGTCGATGCACCATTTTCTACGAAACTTGCGAAATTTCTCTCTCAGTGTGTTGCCTTGTCCAAAAGCATTCCTTCCTAATTGAATCATTTGTGCTGAACATTTTTTTGAATAACCTGGCTGACTAAAGATACGACGATGATTTGCTTTTGTGTCGATCAGATTCTGCTTCTACGGACTTGCTCTTAGTTGTTTTGACGCACAATGCTCGTCGTTTTGACCCCTTTTTACACTGTTTAAACATTTGACACCTCTGCTGATGGATTTCGGGTCCTCCAAGTTTTATCAGGTTTGGCGATAAATTATCTGGTCCATTAAACCGAGATAATTTAATAGAGAAAACAAAGTGTTTAGTGACGGATCGAATTGATTGTGCAAATTTTACCATTGTTAAGCAGACCAAGAATTTGCGCAAAACACTATATAGTGGAGTTAAAGGTAAGACAAAAGTAGTTGTTAAAACGTCTGGTTCTATCTGGATCTCTTGTCAGGGAGTCACCAGGGTTCGAAGTGCGGGATTTTCCGTTGTTTTTTCTGCTTTTCATCTGCTTACTAATTTCTTGTTTTTGTTGTAGTTACTAAGCGCACACCTTCCGTCAGTTATATCCCTGTATTTCCGGAATTTTTCTACTTCGGCGATTGTGGTTATAATACAAATAGTGTTTGCGAGACCTTAAAAGTTTGTGAGTGAATATATCGGGATGGAAATTGCTTGCGCTTTACGGTAGGTTAGCCAATACCTCAGGGACAAGAACGTTCAGATAAAGTTCAGTGTTTTTGTAAAACCCATCAGCAGCCCCTTGTGTGTCATTCGTCAAGTGGAGTGCTCACATTTCTTCAACTCTCAGTTTAGCAATATTTATTTGCAGATCTTCCATGATGCAAACAGCATGGTCGAGCTTTCCTTTGATACAAACGTTGATACAAAACGTTGCTCATTCTGTTCTCGACTGTCACCCTGTGGAGCCCGTTGCTGATCGTAACCTTTAATGTTGCCTAACTAAGACATGTGACTAAACCCTCGAGGAAAACCTTTCGGCTAGAGGAAGATTTCAACCAAAATTGAAGAGCAAAGCCACTCTCACTCTAGCGCTGTCAGTTATTGGATCTTATCAACAGACTCTTGACAAGTTCCGAGGGCCGTCAATCTTTACGCTCTTCCACTCATGTCATATACTTACTTCCCCCGGACTTCCATTCGACCAAAGGTATTTCTGCTTTACCAGTTCATCACTGCTTTACGAACTGGAGACCAGGAAAGTAACTTCGGATCATTCGATATTTTCTTCAGCTCACATTCAGCCAAGAGCTTGAATACTTCCAACAACTCCGATCGTAAAACCACAGGGAAATCAAAGATTGAGGGAAAGATGTTCCGCTGGATGGAACATCGTTTCTGCTCATTATCGGTTAGACCCTCTTCATTGTTCCCATCGCGATGAGACTGGACCTTAACATGGCCCGGTGACTTGCGTGCTCCACTATCCAATGTGTGCTGATTATTGCTTTTTGCATCTCATATTAGATTGCTCAATGGTTAGAAGCCAGACATACTATCTCTTGATTCTGCAGGTTGTGGGTTAGAGTGAGCGTGGTCTCTTCTTAGCACGAACTCTCCACTACCAAGTTTTCGCTGTCATGCGACCAGGTTTTTAAATTAAGGGCTGGTTGAGGATCCTAATCGTTCTTTTGTCAATCTGGCAGTATCCTACCTACGGACTACACTGAACCTCTTATCATCGCGGAGGATAATTCACAGCCTTCCTATCTGCTGCATCGCGCAGGGTGGATAAAGGGGAGGATGCTACTGATCAGGCCTTCCTGTCTTCTTATGTCTCCTGCGACGCTTTTACATCCTTATCGTTCAACTCCAAGTTAACTTCCATCCCCTGTTTTAAACTTCTAACTATTTGCCTTTCTCCGCCTTGCTTTTAGTTTCGAGTCATTCTACCGCCCTGTCAGCCAGTTAATCCGTTTTTATTTGGAGCTTTCGACCGTTCCCAAGACTGATGGGCTTCAACGTGCTCACTTTGTTACATATCGGTCAACAGATGAAATTCCTCTAGCTCTCTTCGGATTCGCGGGGCCAACTCTTGCATATGATCTGCTCAATTCACTAATGCGAATGGGTGCAGAAACCTGTCTCAACAAATTGTAGCCGCTCCGTTATAGTACCGATTTTCATGGGAGGCTCACTTTCCGAATGCGGCAGTCAAAAAAGTATCAGTCCTATCACCTTTCCTTCCAGTTGCTTGCCTACGTCATGCTCCATAGACTGGCTAACACCCGTGAAAGCCAACTTCGCAATGCGCAAGTCGGGTTTTGTCGAAGTTACGTTTGTATCGACCACATCTTCATATTACGTCAGTTGTCGGGGCACTACTGTGTATTTTTGGGGCCCAGTATTCTCGTGTTCCTCGATACCTAAGGTGCCTTCGATTCTGTGAATCTATGTGCCTTTTCAGGCTGCTCAGCAATGGCATGCCCGAGAAATTTTTACGTATTAGTACTATAAGCGCGTAGTTCGGGCAGAGAGCGGACACGTATAAATCTGTCGCTGCCCTTCAGTATCCACAACGGTGTGAGACAGTGATACCGGCTGTCACTTTTCCTCTTCAGCTTAGCAGTAGGCGCACTTATGGAAACTGCGTTCACCAGACTCGACTTTGATGGTGTGGAACTACTTCAAAGTGCACCAACAATATTGTCATCTGTGACAATTAATAAACGTTCTAAGCAGCACTGGACAAATTAGTACTGGTTGTGAATCGTTTAAGACTGTGCTTTGCACCCTTGAAATGCAAATTCCTCTTAAATTGGCAGGGATCCCCTTTTGCGCGGACGTTTAGTGGTGCTCACCTAAAGATCATCCATAAATTCACATACCTATGAAACCCTGTTAGCACCTGTGCAATGGAAGATCAGGTCACGGACCGTATAGCATAGCCCATCCTGATCACCTGTAGCGTTGACGCGAGATCACTCTTGCTCTGAAGGGCAGAGTTTACTATGCAGCCGTCCGTTGTTCAGCCTGACCCATCAGCTCGACAGACGTAAAGAGGCCTGTTACGCCATACCACCGGTTCATTTGCAGTTTAAATTATACATGGGGTAAACACCACGGGAGAAATGAGTATGTGCAGTGCTCTGTTTATGGCACAGATAGTAGAAGTGAATCACTCAACACTATTATTTCAGACACCAGTCTCCGATGGCTTGGTCAGGTTTTACGCATACCAGCACATGGACTCTCGTGACTGCGTTGTTTGCGCGACCGATGTCCGGCTAGAACATGAGTGACCAGCCGATGAATTGGTCAAGAGTAACGACGACCGCTTCGAATTTGACCTCGGTTGGGGTCTGATAGACGATAAACAAGTTTGGTTGGATTAACTTTTTTATATGGCGAGAAACCGACCAGTACCACTCGTGTTTTGAGTTTATTTATCCTGCCCTATCCTGATTGGCCTTCACGTCTAACAAGATCTCATGCTTAATGCATAATATGAAACAATGAGTAATGTTGCTAGATTTTACTTTGTATTCCCTAATTTTTGGGATCTTACTTCATTTCATATGCCTTACTTATTCGTATTGCAGCACAGTTGCTGGGGTATTTTTCACACTCCCCCTCCCAGATTACGTGTAACTTGACAATGATTTTGCCTTGAGGATTGTCCATTTACTCGCATCAATCGGGCGTCTTACTTTAAGCGATTGATTTCCAGTTTCTCTTCCGCTTGGGGATATTGCAGGAGAGAGTATTTGAGAAGCTACTCAAAAAGTTTATTTCGGAAATGAATGCATCGTTATGGGGTTTGGGTGCTCAC